GCAATGACAGGTGACTTTGACAGCTAATACCAAAACAGGTCATATATACCTGCTGGACGGTTCTTATACAAAGATGAATTTTTGGAAAGTTATTTAAAAGCAATATGTCCCCAGATTTATGAAAATCTGGCAGAAGCGTTTGAACTTTAAATGACATTTTGTATGAACAACTTATAGCTGCTATCCAAATCCAAATTTTAAATAGTTTGGCTATATGGGTAGTTTTTTAAATTACTCTTAATATTCTAACAATTGGATTGTGAATATAATTTAACAGTCTGACTTCTAAATATTGCAAAATATTGGCTAGTTCCAATGTAAGTATTTTTTAGGTTAAATTATATTACATGTATTACATATGTTAGGTTTAATTGTCTGTTTTATTATATTTTGTTTTCACAAATGTATAGACTGACTAAAAGCATTTTGTAAATATTTCAATAGTTTGTTAATTGTCATATTTCTGTATAATGCAGCACCATAGGTATGATTCTTTGTCCTTAATGTACAGAAGGGAAAACATTTACAGGTTAAGAAAAACCACCAGTTCTCAATCAGCTACAAAACAAAATAAATCCAACACCACTTTAACATTAGAGTCATGTTTTTCATACCACAAGGGTTTCAAATGCAACAAGGCAAGATGTAAATTCGCATCAGTGTTTCATTTGCAAGTCAGAGGTTTATCGTCCAGCAGTAAAATGCAATACTTTTCGTGCCTCAGGAAGAAAGTCATCACAATCAGAAAACTCCAGTCAATCCGGATTTGTCAAAAAATCTCAACAACATAATAACAACACCAATAAAAATTGAGGCCTTGCAGAAATACATTAAGGGCTATGATTCCAAGGAAACCAGTTACTTGTTAGATGGCTTTAAAAATGGCTTTGAAATTGGCTACAAAGGAGATATCGTCACCCGGGAATCTAAAAACCATAAATCAGCAACGCAAAACATTGAATACTTGAGCTCAAAACTTGACTCACTTCATAAAAATGGCAAATTACTAGAGCCATTTGAAAAACCTTTATTCAAAGAGTATATCATTTCTCCTCTTTCACTCATCCGAAAGAACAGTAGTACCTCGGAGAAAAAATTTCGCTTAGTGCACGACATATCATATCCACCTGAATCATCAGTCAATAGCAGCATTCCTAAAGAATTAAGTACTGTTCAATATACTAGGTTTTCTGAGGTCATGAAAAAAAGTATCAAATTAGAAAACTAACGGCGTAAATCACCCGGGAGAATAATAACAAATGGCGACGAGTTGACATATGTTATTTGTCTAATGATTATGTCTTGTGCTCATTGTGGTCACTTATTTACCTTGCGAGCTAACTCAAACATACAAATACGTTTTGGTCCAAACAGAAATATTAAATCAGACTCGGGTACATGGACACTAGGGGAGATTTACGACTCATTATTCTCTTGTGAAAATGCTCTTTCCAAACTGGAAATAAAATTTGAATAAGATGACATTTGTTTTATGTTGTTGTATGAATGATATAACAAATTATATTGCAGCATCCATGTACTATGTGATGTTACATGAGGGATATCACTTATGAATTTATATAATTATAATGAAATGTAAATTTGGAAATAAAAATTCTGAACTTTTCAGTAGTATGTGATAACATATGAAAAATACAAATAAATGTCAACGAACCTTTCCAATCATTCTCTGAAGTATTGGGAACAATCTCAATGGCGGGGATGTCATGTTGTTTGAAGAAGTTTAGTTGTGAGGCAGTAAGGGCAACTAGTGTCCATAATTAGAATGCCTGAAATATCAGCTTTTTCTGGAGTTATCACACATCTTCATACTCTATTTTGTACCATGAAATAACATAATCAGTGTTTTCCAAAATACTTTTGTACACCATGAAAGAAAACATACACATCATCGCTACAATTATGTTTATTAGTTTGAAATATTAAATAACCTTAGTAACATCAAACCAGAGACAAAACTAACCTCATTCATAACAAGAGGGGGAATAAAATAACATGCACTTTTTCCAAACCCAGTGCCTGCTATCAATCTGCAGTGCTTTCTATTCAAAACGTTACATATAACTTCCTTTTGCTGTTCTTTTAAATGAAATGAGAGTTTATGCTGTTCGCTCAAAATGAGCTCATAAATGTTCGACAATTTATCAGCATCAAATGCCATGTTTGAAAGTGACACGTATGTAGTAAATACACGTACGAATTATAATATGCACAGAAATTACCATAAATACGTTTCCAGTATATTGCTCCGCCTCCCACGTGTTATTTGTTTACAAATAGATTGACGTCACTAGTGAAATCTCGCTGACCCACATTGCAGTGTTGGAATTACTATTTACAAAATGGCAGCGTGTTTTCACTACCAAAAGCGTCTGAAGATTTTATGAATATCTCAAGTTAGAGGACAGAACACTTCAAAATATTAATGTAAGTTCTTTATTAAGTATTAAACTTATAATTGTTCATAATTTCAATGTAGTACATGGAACCACTTTTGGCAATAGGTGACTTATAGTCTGAATTTATTCAGACGAAGGATACAGTCTAACCCTGACCTTAAAATTGCAAATTTGGCAGATTGTCATAAATAATAATAAAAATATGTCCATCATGTTATCCCTTAATACTGGTGTGACCCATGTAAGCCAATAGGAATATGTAGAACAATTTGGAGATGTGTAATAAATTATAAAAGTGTACCTGTGTATAAATTCAGCAAAACCAAATATACAAGATTGAAGCCTAAGAAGTTACCACTTTGCCAGCCTTATCCAGAGTCATGCCAAACATGTACAGCTAAGGCAAAGAAAAGATAATTGGCTTGATTGCCTTGAATTCACTGGGCTATTGAACGGTGCAATTATATTGACTGGCTTGCTTCCAAAGCATTTTTAAAGGCTAATGTTTTTAAACCATTAAAGGGTGATGTTATTAGAACATGGGTTACACTGGGATCTATCTATTCGTTATTAGCATGGGTTGAAATGATGCTCTAGTGAAGTCATCTAGTTCATTTTTCTTTAAGGATCTATATGTTACAGCATCCTGGGACTGTGAGAAGAAATGGAAGAGACCCAAACATGTGCAGTAAATGTCTGCCTTCATGTTATATAAAAGCAAGCCACATAAATGCCCATGTCCACAGGGAAAAGTGAATGAGATAAGAAATGTCAGTGTTAAACTCGTATTCACACTTTATCATTCTCTTTATTAAATAACACCCCATATACTTGGTAAAATCAAGTTGGGATTACACAAACTAAATGGATGTACTATGATAAAAAAATATATGAGACAAGTTTAGATCGGTTAATCTCTATTTAATCATGCAGTGAGCCAATCTGGAATAAGAGGGAAGTTGGTTGGTGCATTCAATACCACCAGTGGTGTCCTAGTTTGGGAGCAACCAGTCGGAGAATCAAACTGACTAACTAAATATGGAATTGAAAGACTTGAAGAGAAACTGGCGAACAAATTGGGCACGTTCAGTCCATGGTCACAGAGATTTTTTTACTTCTATCTTTTGAAAAGTTTGTTTTTCAGTTTCGCAGGGAAATGTTGAAAATGCAATAATTGGGGATTTCTTTTGTGTTGTTCCTGTAAGAGAGATATAATTCTCTAACACCAATTTTATGGCAAGTAAATATGGCGTTTTTTGATTAAATTTAATTATTTTTTTCAAGAAATGTAGGGTAAAGTATGTATGTACACATATGTACGATACTGTACATGTAATATTTTCACTTACCTTAATGAGTAGTAGATTAGTGTTTATAGAGAATGTAATCCTCTTTCTCACTTACCTTAATAATAAGATTAATGCATACATCTCACATTGGAAAGAGATGTAAAATAAAAATGTTATGTTATTTCTAAGTGTTTATGTATATACTGCAGCTAAAATTGGGTTTGATTAGAGATTTTCCTTGATTCTTTAATAAGAGCAAGATTGATAAATAAATCATGTGATAATGTATGTAAAATTCTATTGAAGCGTAATGTACTTTGAACTTACTCAATTTACATAAGCTTGTTATGCTTCTAGGTACACCTAATTGGAGATATTTTTGAAAAAAGTATGATATTTCCCCGGGGGGTTCACTATATATAAACCTTGACGGGGATCCTCGGCGCATGTGGGGTACCTTTTTCAACGTTTGGTATGGCAATGGACCCATATTTTAGGATTTGGTATGGGAATGCCCGGAAATTTCTGACTTCTGAGGTATGGCAATGGTCGGACTTTTGCTCTTCTGGTATGAGAATGGTCGTTGTAGATACGTTACCTAACATTCGTGGTATGGCATTGGTCCAGTAGTTGCAAATTTGTATGACATTGATCCTATATTTCATTTACTTTGAATTAAGGTATGGCATTGGTTCCATATTTGGACATTTGGTATGGCATTGGTCCTACATTTTGACATTTGGTATGGCATTGGTCCCATAATTCGGCATTTGGTATGGCATTGGTCCTATATTTGGACATTTGGTATGGCATTGGTCCTATATTTTGGTTGGTATGGGAACATATTGAAATTTGACAGATTGGTATGGGAACATATTGATATTTGAGGCTTCAGCCTAGGACCCCCGTCGAGTTTTATATACAGTGAACCCCCGGGGGATATTTCATGATATTCATTTTCCTTACTTTTATAAAGAAAGAATTCTAAAATTGTCTTCAGGAAATACAGATATTTCAAGAAAAACATTCAAAATGGCTGCCTTTTTTCCAAAAAAGATTCTCAACAACATTAGATCAACTTCAATTAATTTCAAATACACCTAAAGTTAGATGCAACAAAGTTACTTTCCAGAAATAGAAGAAAGATTCAGGTTTTCAAACTTTACCTGTACCAAAAAATAACATGCGCGGGTATAGTAATTTTTCCAAAATGTCTCCAATTTGATATACATGAACTGTTTACAAGGACTTGAAAGAAACTGAATAAATGTTAATAATAAAGTTTTCTCACCCATTTGCTGACTGCTCCGATACCCTGGAATGATTTGAAGTATGACTGCGGCTTGTTCTTTGATCGTATTGGTGCTTACTATTTCTTCCATCATCTGGCGGTCTATGATTAGTATACTCTTTAGCTCTATTAGTTCCACCATTCTGAAATCATCAATATTCACCATTGCAATGTTCAATCCTTGTCTACCATCACTTTATTGTTTTGTTCCACCATGCTATTTATTCCAAGTCTACTTTCCCCACAGAATCTTGGAAGTAATGCATTCACTTCTCTTATATGAAACATGGTCACCTCCATTCTCATTCAGTGTTTCTCTGTCACCACATTCCTCACATATGCACCCTATGTGGCTTCAAATGTACATGTATTGATAAGTAGGCTTATCATTGCTGGGGGTCTTTCGTAATACATAAAACTACAGGATATTGGCAAACATTTTAAGTTTAATCAGTAACTATACTGTACAGGCTGTATACATTATTAGCCAAATAGCTTATCATGTCAAAGGTCCTTATTTATAGAGAGTATTCATCAAAACTTGAACTAATTATCAGTTTGGCAAGAAATAATCCAAAGTTTGCAAATCAAATGTTCTCATTTTGCTTCATTGATAATGACTGTTCAATTGTAACCATGGCATCCTTTAACAAATAAAGATAAGATTTGTGTACATGTGAATTGAGAATTGCCATGGTACCATGCAGCTCTCAATCACTCCATAGTTCATACTGAGGCCAGTAGCTAGGCCATTGGACAAAAACCACTAGAAAAGTGCTCATAATGAAATGGTGAAAAACAGCATGATTAAACTTTTTCATTGAGCTTGACTGTTTGATTGTAAGCATGGCATCCACTTAACAAATAAAGATAAGATTTGTGTACATGTGAATTGAGAATTGCCATGGCACCATGCAGCTGACCATCTTATATCGAAACCTCAATTTTGGTGGAAGAGTTGTCTGTTGAATTCATGCTGAGCACAGCTTTACGGTTTTTATTTTACAATCTCTATCCACTGGCGGATCCAGGGGGCCCCCCTTGGGTGGGCCAAGTGTCAAAAAGAAGCCTCAAATTTTCAAATTTTTTTCCTGGATTTGAAATTTGCCCCCCCCTCATTGTTAGCTTCTGGATCCACCAGTGCTATACATGACCCAGAGGATGAACAGTTAGAATCAGTCAAAAAAACTAAACTGTAAAACTGTGTGTAAAACATGTGAAAACTATATGTGAAGCAATTTTTGTGGCATTTCAAGCATCAAATGGCAGCTATCATGATTTTCTCCCAAGAGTCAATAAAAGATATGAAGACATATCAAAATGGCGAGAAATTCAAATATTTGAAAAAATTCAGAACTTCAAAAAATATTTCAAAAATATTAGATTTTCTTTCAAATTCTTCATATGGCATAACTTTTTTTCTACTTTGTATTTCATACAGTATTATGCTACCACTTATTTTTCCATGATAGCCACTATTTGTTTTTTTCACTCTGATTCAAATTTGTAAACTCCCATTGACTTCCATGTTAAAGAAACATCCAAATATACATGTTAACATGTTTGGCCTGTGTCAGTCATGTTTCACTGTACTAATATGTTACTTACATGTGTTAAGGGTGCTAAATCCCTGGAACTGTTTCTCATGGAACTGCTTGGAGGAGTCTGCCAAGCACTTTTTCTACTTGAATTTAAATGATCTTGTTGATTCTGAAAAATGAGAATATTTCCAGAAGTACGTTTTACTGCTTTTCTAATGACCAGCAACTGCTATGCTCACCAGTATGATGAGATGACTACAATGTAACAATTCGAATACTTTTTCAGTATTTAACAGAATATGTGTAAGGGAAATATCACTTGAGATCAAAGTTTTTGAATGAAATAAGTGATTTGGAAAAATATGAATTTATAAATGAATTAATACCTGGGCATTTGAAACTTGTGCCATCCACCAGACTTCGAAATCTTTCATCATTTTCACTTTTGATTTTTCTAATAAATGCTGCAAGTGTTCAATTTCAGTTTTTAGAACTTTAAGTCTGTTAAATGTGTCTTTGTAAGCTTGTTTATAATGTTCTAGATCAACACGAAGCTGGTTTTCCATCTCATCAGGCTCAAGTTGGTCAACTCCTCCATTCCCCTGCATTACTCTAGACACCCTCTGCTGCTCAAGACGACGTTTCACTTCATCTGAAATAATGTGACTCTATACACCTATGCAGGATGGATATTATTACAATTGGCTGGATTCATTGTGCCAATTATAATATTATGCAATAATTAAAGGTGTTATTTATATTAGTATCAGTAATCAAAATTCTGAATCTTGTTGTTTCAAAATCAGCAGGGAACTAATCCTATTTTGGAGTAAAACTACACAACTAATTAAAGGTTATCTGTTATTCAAATAAGATGGCTTCATTTACTGCACATTTTGAAACTAGAATGTCTCAGTTCAGCATAGGTGCAAATAATGCACTTTACAAGACTATATTAGCATTTGTGAATTTATATGCTGGCTAAAGAATTAACCTACTATTTTATGGCCAACCATCATTCCAGTCATATTCAAATGAGTTGGCCATAAAATAGTTGGTTAAACCATCTGCCAGCAGTTGAATTTGTGAATGCTACCTAATTAACTTACTGATCTTAGTCCTAGATTTGTTCACGACTTCTCCAAGTTTCTTAGCCTCTTGATATCTTGACTTTAGATCCCTTTTATGTTCATCTATGGCACTGTTTTGTGGATAATCTCGTCGGAATATTTCAAAAGCCTCTTGACGGCCCATTGACATATCACCCACTGAAAAATATAAAGTATAAATGAATCTATTCTAACTTTAATTATTCTATTTTGTAATGCCCAACATCTAATTCAACTTTTTGATTGCTCAACAACCCCATGTACATTCTCCCTGTAAATGATTATATCAGAACTTACACAACGTTTTCTCAGTCATTTCATGCACGTGTAACTTGGTATCATCAGAATTATTTTTACGTGAATATATTCAATTATCATACAAAAGAATACTAAGAACAATAGATGGCTTAATTGACAAAAGATGAGCCATAAAAGTAATAAATATACTTGAATTTTGCAAATTCTCGCAATCAACCACATTTTTTCTTGGATTATAGATGCACTTACAAATCTTTTGCTTTGTGGATTCATCTTTTGGGTCCATGGGTCTATCAGATTGCCAACTCTCCCTTGGTGCTCCTGAAACATAAGCTTCAAGGTAATAATACAATAAGAATATGTAATTAAAAAATTATAAACGAAATCAAGCATTTGTCAATCTGCTAGAATTGATGTCTTTAGAATTTCTAGAACACATTTTGATTGAATAATGTAGTCTTTTTTAAAATGTTAAAACCAAAAATGGCCTATGTTACTACATTCCATTACAACATGTTTATACTTAATGAGAGAAGGGTCCGTTGAGGTTCAAGTATAAAAATGACCGAAAATATAATAAATAAATAGGAATCATTAACCTTAAAAACTGTAGATACACTTAACATTTTCACAAGAAATATCAGGTATAAAACCTTGTGAAACAGATCTTTGATCCATTCAATCAAATAATCAAAGGATGTGTCCGGGTATATGCCCTTATGGTCCCTCAGTTAAATGTATGTGCAATATGGTTTTTATTACTGTCCTAGTTATATTTGATAAGTATATTTACTTTTTCACGAGTTTTGATGCATACTGTAGAAGTGGAAACTTTAACGACGTAGAAACTTTGGCGAAATTTAGCGTTGGAGGAGAGACGCCAAAATAAAAATTCGTAGAAAAATATGAAAAAAATATCGGTGGGCGATAATACCGTGAAGAATACAGATCAATCGATGCTGAATTTCGTTTCGAATACATAAATAATACATACCTCAGTGTTTCCTCATCGATTTTCAAATCATAATTAATACCTATTTTGTTTTGCAATCATGTTTTGTTGCCCTAAATGATGAAAACATTACACAAATAATTTTTCGAATTTTCGATCACAAAATCTGTAATTTGATTGGATATCTACTGTCACGTGACAACTTATCACTAACATGAATGACACGATTATTTTATAAGAATAGATCTATACTAGCATTTATTCCTTAACAAAACATAAGATACTGAACAGAACATAAACACAAGTCAACATCCACCTACAATAGTACAATAAATAGAATAAAGTTTGATAGTGAATTAGCCGAGTTTGTTACTTATTTGATTGTTTGTCGGGTATTAACACCTACTGACAGTTTGAGCACATTGATTGGGGATTACACACAAACATAAAGACTTACTTTTGATGGTGACACGCCATTCCTGTCCAGGGATGAGTTGTCTAGGGGATGAGTTGTCCGTAAGCCCCTAATAATAAGCTTATAAGCTCGCCCAAGTAATTTTCCATTTTCTTGATTGCTGGTCCGGGAAAGTTTAATTCGGCAATAAAGTTTTAGGGACCATCTCGCTAAAGTTTTGTTTCGCTAAAGTTTCCACTTCTACAGTAATTAACCCCCTGCTGAGAGTCAGAATAAGTATCTTCACAAAAAGAAAATAGTTATTATCATAGAAAAAAAGGCTTACGGACAACTCATCCCCTAGACAACTCATCCCTGGACATCTCATCCCCTGGACAACTCATCCCCTGGACATCTCATCCCCTAGACAACTCATCCCCTGGACAACTCATCCCTTAGACAACTCATCCCCTAGACAACTCATCCTTTATCACATGAAGCCAAATTGTTTTTTGGGAAAATAAATATTTATTAAATACATCTTTAATCATTCTAAATATTATTTTTCACTTTATTGACACAAATAATAAAATGGTCAAACAGTCAAATGTGCCATTAAAACTTTCATCTCTTGTCCTTATATTACAAGACTTAATATTTCATGACAAAAAATAAAGTTTTCTCTCTGCATAATTTTGTAACCTGAACTTCAGTAACTTCATCTGTGACTGCTGTGAAAAAATAATCTTTGGATTAAAAATTATTTGCAACAAACATATTATGCCATCAAAGGAGCTTATGACATCAAAGCAGCTTCTTCAGTCAATGTTAACATAATATTGAAACTGTATATTAAAAGTAAAATTAAAGGTAAATATTTAAAAAACAAATTACAGATTAATTGGTTGACTATCTCTTTGACAATATCATAGTAGTACCATGGTATATCAAAGTTTTTTAAACAACTTTCCAGATTTCCCCTCAAGAAAGTCTTTGTTCACTTGTACTCAGAAGACAACGTAGCTTTAATACCTCACTATTGTTATGTAAATGGAAAGAGTTAGAAGTGCAGATCTTAACCATTTTTGAAATTCTGTTTACGTAACAAAAGTGAGATATTAAATCGAGGATCGCGTTGTCTTCTGAACTATTTGTTCGCATGTACACATGTACATTTTCTTAGACATATAATATTCTGCCTACTACTTGAGAAATAAATAAAAGACAAAAATCGTACCTTTAAGGCTCTGACATTTTTTTACCGAAACAATCTGTTTACAACATAATCGAGTGGAGTATCAGTGTTCATGTAATATATGATTTTGAAACTTAAAACTGATCATGATAATCAATACATTTAAAAATCATTTGAATAATATATGAATTAATAATATTACATTAAAATACTCAAACATGCCAAAGGATGAGTTGTCCAGGGGATGAGTTGTCCAGGGGATGAGTTGTCTAGGGGATGAGTTGTCCAGGGGATGAGTTGTCTAGGGGATGAGTTGTCTAGGGGATGAGTTGTCCAGGGGATGAGTTGTCTAGGGGATGAGTTGTCCAGGGATGAGTTGTCTAGGGGATGAGTTGTCCGGTTACCGAAAAAAACACCAATGGCAACATGTATGACATACAAAGAAGAAAAGACCCATGAAGAATTAAAAAGAAAATCATATTTTTGAAATATATTTAAGGATTAAATTTTATTCAAAATTTTGAATTTCCCGCCAGTTGAATTTGAAGGGGGAAAAACAAGATGGTTGCCATTTGATGTAAGAAATATCAGAAAAAAAGTTGCTTCACTTTTAGTTTTCACAATGAGCACAGTTTTCCGGTTTAGGTTTTTTGACTGATTCTGACTCTTCATCACCAGGGTCATGTATAGAGATTATAAAATTGAAACCAAAATGTTGTGCTCAGCATGAATTTGACTGAAATATGTGTAACATCACCAACACAATTGAAGTCTCAAAACTGGATGCTCAGTAACTTTGAGTGACTATAATCCCTTGATTACCCAGGTAAACACCAATTCACTTATCCAGAAATACCATTTAATGTCTATACAAAGAAAGTAACCAATGTTTTGGAAGATATGTTTCAAACTTTTTGCATAAATAATTCATTTAATATTTGCCATTGATTTTTTTTTCAATTCTGACAAAGTGATATGCACTGTCTTTGATGCCAATATTCTTCATCAATTGTGATACAAATTGAAGTTTAATAATATGTGTGATTGAGTTGGTTTTTCAGACATTACAATTTTCAATATTTTCTAAGTCGATACCCAGACTCATTCCCAGACTCATCCTTTTCAGTCAACTCCATCTGTTAGAAAATTAAGGTACTGCATAATATTTCTCTAATGATATCATTTAAGCTCATATTTGCTCACTTACCATTACGCTTATGTCTATGTTTATGACTGGCCTCAATGTGGCTGTCACTTACAGTGGACGAAGCACGTTTCTCAGCACTGACACCAATCTCCTCAAGTCTTGACAAGGCATCTGCAGCGCGCTTTTTCTCTTTCTTCAACATGTTTACTAGAATATCTGGGCTTTGTCAAGGATGTAAACAAGATAATCAATAACACTGAGTGAAGTTATCTTTTCACGGAAATAATAGTACAATAACGTCATTTTAAGGGCAATATAGTGAAATATTGGACTGAGGGCCGAAATTATTACCACTATTAATGACCAGGGCTGAAATAGCAAAAATTATATGCATTGAACGATATCTCATTTCCCAGGAAAAATTGCCGGGCGTTAATGCATTATTGGCCCGCCACTATGGCCCGCCTCTATGACATCACTTATTGCTCAGGTTGATATAGTAAAATAAATGCCTTCTAAACTTGTACTAATACCCCTAGAACAGGCCCGACAAGGTGGCAATAATGATAATTGTTACAGGGCATCTGGGTATCAATGTGGCAAAATGTAACCAATCTGCAAATGGTAACTTAAGTGTGACAATCTGTAACAGATACTGAAGCTGTCAATGCTGATAAAAACTTAAGGTTATACAATTTGTCACCACTTTTATGTTAAAAAATGAAAAATTCCTGAATGAGTTTACTCAACTCTATATTTTTAATACAATAAATATTATTTAAAAACTCATTCCCTCTGGTTTTGTTTAAAAATCATTTCATCAAGGATACTTATTTCATTATCCCTCTGTTGGATAAGGTCATTTAACTTTTTCAACTGTTTGGAATCAGGGGCTGGCTCTGTAGGTTCTGGACTATCTCGGGGTCTCTGAGATTGACTACCATTGCTTTGTTCAAGAGCATATTCCTGAAATGATACACAAAAACATTACCAAATATGATGATAAATGTAGGTTTAGGCCCTTGTGTAATGTTCAATCATTTAATGTCATTTACAATTGAGACTGACATGACTTTTCATTACCTTTAGCAGGGAATAACAGAACTGGATCTTCCTCATATCTGCCCCAATGTCTAAAGTAGAACTTGAGCCAGGTTCTTCAAGATATTCTTTCACCAGTTGTCTACACCTGAAATATAGTTTATTATACATATTATACATGTAGTTAATAGGAATATGATATTGGTGTTCTGTTGTATGTAATAACTTACCCACTTTATGAAATGAGACAAAGATGCTACATATTTTATCATTATACATATTAAGGAGGTTAATTATTAATTTCAATGAATTGCTCAGCATTAGCTTTTGAAGAGGCAGGCATCAACCTGAAAATACATTTAAACCCTTTTGAAAATGAGAAAAATCATCAAAACATTTTTGACGAACAATGATCTTTGGAGAGTTCCTTGTTTTTTGCAATATCTGATTTTTTCTGTTTCATTAAAACTTGATTTTTCAAGTCAACCACCTCATCTCATATTTGTCACTCACCTTGTCACCTAAGACAGTCATTTGTCATCAGTTACATGTGTGATGAGGATTTCGAAGGGGAAATGTGAAATCTGTTTAAAATTCTCACTTCGGGCTATTGCACTTAAAGATTACGTCTAATATGTCATGTACTTTGAATTCTCTGCAATTTCAGGATAGTTCAGATGAAGCCGTTGCTTTCAGAATTTATCGTGGACTTCAGGATTCCAAGCAGAATTTGCATTTTTTTGCCATGCAGAAAACTAGGATATGTGATTAATATGAACCTGAATATGGAGATCTACCTTAGGAACATAGCTGGAGTAAATTGAATTCATGACTACCTGTCCAACTCAGCTTGGGTGAGCTCATCAGAGCGTTGTTCCCCAGTGGCAATTGCCAATTCAGATTTCAGCTCCTGGATCTCTGCCTTTAACTTTGCTATCAGTAACTTCGGATCCAGTTCTTCATTCAAAATGGCATCATTCTTAATCATTGCCACCCTTTGAGCAAATCTGCATGTTGATATGGACTCCTATAAGTAGGGAATGGTTAAATAGGAATATTGTAAGATTCATTGACAGACAACTCCTTGCCAATATTTAATTCAAACTTAATGTTTACTTGGATATAATCTATAGACATACATTATCATGGATATAATCCACAGACATAGATTTTAATGAATATAATCCAGAGACATATTGTCACGGATATATCCCATATACATAGATTATCATAAATATAATCCAAAGACATATATTATAATGAATATAATCCGTACACATAGATTATTATGGATATAATCCAAAGACATAGATTATAATGAATATAATCCAGAGACATATTATCATGGATATATCCCATAGACATAGATTATCAAGGATATAATCTAGACATAGATTATAATGAATATAATCCATAGACATTGATTATTATGGATATAGTCCAAAGACAAAGATTATCATGGATATAATCCATAGACATATAATCATGGATATAATTCATAGACACATTATCATGGATATAATCCATAGACATATTAGTATGGATATAACACATAGACATAGATTATCATAAATATAATCCAAAGACATATATTATCGTGGACATAATCTATAGAAATATATTATAACTAATATAATATATATTCATAAATTGTTATGGATATAGTCTGAAGACATAGATTATCGTGGATATACTCCATAGACATATTATCATGGATAAAATCCATAGACATATTATTAGAGGTTATGTCACTATGACGTGAAATATGCCTGAGTTCTCCCAATATAGGCCGACCTTGGGAGGCTCTATATTTGGGCAAGAACGAAGGCATATTTCACGTCATAGTGACATAACTGATGTATTACATGCCTTTGTTCCCATGGTTACTTTGTATCAATGACGTGACGTCATGATATTATCATGGTTATTAAAGAAATCTAATATCAAAACGAGGTAAGCGGGCTATATCGGGGTAATCGGGCAATATCGGTGGATATAGCTCGCTAACTTTCCCATTGACTTCCATACAAATGCTTCGCTAGGTATGTAATACTCATGGATATAATCCATAGACATAGATTTTCATAAATATAATCCATAGACATTACATCGTCATGGATATAATCCATAGACATAGATTATTATGGATATAGTCTGAAGAGATAGATTAGCATGGATGTAATCCATAGACATATTATTATGAGCTTTATTATACTTGTATCCCACATTTGGGCAAAGTGTACAGCTTAAACAGAAAAAAAATGAAAAAGCTTAACTAATTATCTATATAGTATATTAACTAATCAAAGGGTGCTTGATCATTGCAAGATTTTATTGGATGCATTTCGTGTTTTTTTCTCTCTCGATAAAAATATTAGATATATATTTTGCTAGTATATTTAATATTATTCCCTCTGAATTAAATAGAAACATTAATTTATGTTCCACGTTATTCATGTTTTCTAAATTTTGACAGTGTTTTTTTATTTTATCCATGTAACTTGACCGAACATCTTTTAACTTATTGCATTCTAATAGGTAATGACATTCTGAACCGGTTTTCTTGTTACACATTAAACATTTTCTTTCTTCAATAGGGGTAATTGGTTTTGTGTAACGACCTGTTTCGATTTCTAATTTATGTGCGCTAATTCTTAGCTTTGTCAAGTTATTTCTGTCTATTTCATTTTTGATTATATCCAAGTAGGGTTCCTTGTTCCATTTTGCTTTTATTATCTTATAAAACCTCAATTTACCATTATTTGATTTTATTTTAGTTTCCCAAAATTGTATGTATCTATTTTCCAGTAATTTCTTAATTTCTCTTGGTTTTAAGTTTAAATAGTTTGGTGAAGTACCATTGTAAATATATTTAAGTACATCATTGATGTGCGTGAGCCATGATTGTTTATTCATATCTGTCAGTTGTTTATTTACCTCAAGGGCTTCACGTAGAAGCGAGTCGGTTCCTTTATTGTTAATATGATTAAGATATTTCATTTGTTGATAAAACAAAGAAATAAATAGTGGAAACCTACCTAAATCGCCTCGTGTAGCGTCATTACTGGCCTTTCTGTTAACACCGAGTATCGATTTCATAAATGATATATGAAGAGATTCAAATGTTATTCCATCATATCCCTTTTCTAATGCCCATTGTGGGTCTTTTTTAATTTTACTCGAGTTTAAGATACCCGTACCCCATATATCAGATCCATAGAGGCATATGGGCTTTATGAGTTGATCAAATAGTTTTAAGCATAATGATGGTTTCATATTACCATTAGAAATTAGACTTAATAATTTAAATTTTGCCTTTTCAGCTTTGTCGTTGATATGCTGGGCTGCAGGTCTCATTGACCCACTTATGCTTAATTCCATTCCCAGGTAAATGTATCGTGAAACAGATTCTATTTTGTAATTTCCTATAAAGAAGTGATTATCAATAAGTCTACCATTTTTATTCATTACCATAATTTTGGTTTTATCAGTGTTGATATTTAAGTGCCATTCTTCACAGTATTTTTCTAATTTGTCCAATTTGGTTTGCATTTCATCTTTTGAGGATGTGATAATTACTAAGTCATCAGCAAAAAGGAGGCTTCCAATTCGCTTATTATTTAATAATGGGTCTGTTTTGAGATCTAATGTTTTAATAATGTCATTTATATATATATTAAATAGAAGAGGACTTAGGGGGTCCCCCTGTTTTATTCCCTTGTTACAGTCAAATTCATTGGTAAATAAACCCTCATTATCTAGTCTGACTCTTGCTTTTGATTGTGAATATATATGTTTTATCATTTTATAGAATAAACCGTTTACACCCGATTGCAAAAGTTTCAAAAATAATCCATCATGCCATACCGTATCGAAAGCTTTCCTCAAATCAACAAAACACATATATATATTCCCTTTTTCACTTAGTACATATTTATCCACGAGGGTTCGTATTATGAACATGTGGTCAGTTGTTCGTGCTTTCTTTGTGAAACCGGCTTGATTTTCCGATATTATTTTTCTGTCATGTACAAAGGCGTAAAGTCTATTATACAAAATTATTGAAAATAGTTTGCCAAAGCAATCAGAAATAAAAATACCTCTGTAATTTCCAGGGTCTTTCGTCGTTCCTTTCTTAAATAACGTAACGATTGATGAAACATTCCATTTTTTTTTCATATTATCATGGATATAATCCATAGACATAGATTTTAATGAATATCATGGATATAATCTATAGACATAGAAAGAGTTTTAATATATAGATGCATTATAGATAAGATGTCTTGGAGATGACTTCCTTAGCAATCTTATTCAATTGTAAAGCACAACCAATAAATCTCTTAACATTCTATTATTCATCTTTTTGAAAGAAGTAAAGATATCAAAGATATATGATGCTGTATTACATACCTAGTGAAGCATTTGTATTGAAGTCAATGGCAAAGCTAGCGGGCTATATCCAGCGATATTGCCGGATTACCCCGATATAGCCCTCCTACCTCGTTTTGATGTTAGATTTCTCTAATAACCATGCGAACATCATCATGACGTCATGTTTGTTTACAAACAAACCGAACTACTTTCTTACGTACGCCATCTATACATATTTACAAAGTCAAAATGGCAGCTCTTGCAGACGAGTTTGAACTGAATGGTAATTCGCAAGTTATAGAACCTATTCTTGATTTAGATGAGGGAATCTTCGATGACAAAGAATTACTAGACTTTGTGAAAAACATTGAGCAACAAACTGAAAGAGATACACCGTTACCTTCTGAATCCGAGCCCGTGTCAATGGACCTGACAATGAAAGAGCAGGAGCTCCGAGAATTTGTGAATGAAAATGAGAAAGTGAACACTCGAGTCGCTACTACATTGCTCTGAATAAAGTAACACAACACTTGAGATCATTAAATGAGAATAGGCCAATTGAAGAAATCCCACCTCAGCAACTGGATATACTATTAGCAGATTTTGTAAAAAGCGCTAAAAAGTCAGGCAGAAAGAACAGTGAAGATACTGAATTTGAGCCTGGTACACTTACTTCCTATATCAATTCCATCGAGAGATATTTAGGACGCAAGGGTTATTGCGTCAGCTTAAGGGATAGAACTTTTAAGTTATTGCAGGACACTCTATCATCTAAACGTCGAAACTTAACAAGAAACGGCAAAGGAAACAAACCAAATGCAACGGTGGCTCTGACCAATGCAGAGATTGATATTTTGTGGACCAAAAACGTTCTTGGTGACAGTGCTCCTTGGAACTTACAATTCACTATGTGGTTTATGATATGCCAAAATTTCGGCTTTAGAGCTCGTGATGAGCACAGGAAACTTGAATGGGGAGA